ACACCTTGTTATCTCAGATTCTCCAGCATCTGCAGTTCCTACTATCTTTGTCCACCTGCAGCTGGGTGGCAGGTTCATCAATCAAAATCATGAACATTTTAACTGTCCCTTGCTTACTGCTGCCCGACTCAGATTCACATGGGGATGGGCCAGAAATACCAATTGTAAGGTAAACTTCTCAGCAATCTGCCATTTATTTCTTGATGTGAAATTTGATCCGAAGTATTGCAAAGCAATTTGAATCGAAGAAGTGTGCAGGAGGTCTCTCAGATTTTGCTCTTGGAAGTCTCTCTCATGGAACGTGACAAATTGATTTGAGTTTTTTTTAAAATTCATTGCAAGTGCTGCTGTTTTATTCCTTGATTAACACGATTAGCCCCTGTGGGGTCCTCCTACTGCATTATTATCCCAGCAACAAATAGTTCTAGTCAAGCAATGACCCATAAGAAAAGCTCTTGTGCCAAATTTAACCACTACCTTGTTGCCTGTAATTCCACGTGGGAGCACCTTTCCTTCACAATGGGACATTTCCTCAGACTAAACCAGAAAGCCGATCTCCACTCAAAGTGCTGTATTCATTCTACACCATAGTCTTTATACAGCACCATTTACATTCTCAAAGTGCTTTTGGGCATGTTACACCAATTAGTTACTTTGTTTGCTCTTTTTTAATCACTGTTTTAGGAAACATGGCACCTAATGTGAACACTGCAAGCTCTCAAAAAGATCAATACAGTAACAATCAGATGACAGTCAGCTTCAGTGATATTAGTTTGAGCCATACAAAATGCAGACGTGCACGCACACACAGACACACACACACAGACACACACACACAGACACACACACAGACACATGCATTTGGAGATGGACTTCCCATCCTAGATATAAAACAGCATTGACAGGTAAGAGGGCACACGCATCCAACAAAATTATATTTCACCCAGAAATCTATTAAAACTTGGATCAAAGAGAGATTACAACTGTTGGGAAAGACTGAAATGCCCTCCATTTTATTTCTTCATAGGATGAAGGCATTGCCAGCAAGGCCAACATTTATTGCCCATCCTCTACAGCTTCATTCCCTGTAGGCAACCCTCCGAGGTCCGTGTGCGGCACTGATTTCTGGAACTGGAGGTCAATGCTAGGAACAACGTGGGCACGCCAAGCACGACCCTCTGAGCAGCTGCATGTTGCTCAATAGCCCTCAAGGTGGTGGTGGTGAGCTGCCTCATTGAACCTTGCAGTCCATGAGACGTGAACAGTGCTGTTGGAGAGGGAGTCTCAGGGATTTCCACCCAGTGACAGTGAGAGATTGGCAATGCAGCTCCAGGCTAGTCAGGCAGTCAGAGACTTGGAGGGGAGTCTTTCCTATAAATAAGAGAAGGCTCATAGCAGTTTTTTAAAAGATTATGAAAGGGTCCAATTGGGTGTCGTGCAGAACCCCCATTAAAAGTACAGTCATATCAGGTACATGGGAAGATGGCTGTGGTTGTTGGAGGTCAATCATCTCAGCTCCAGATATCTCTGCAGGAGTTCCTCCTCAGGGTAGTGTCCTAGGCCCAACCATCTTCAGCTGCTTCCTACTGATCTTCTCTCCATCACAGAGTCAGAAGTGAGAATGTCCGCCAATGACTGTGCAATGTTCAACACTATTTGTTACTCCTCAGGTACCCCTCACTGAATACTTCGCTATCAACATCATGGGGCTTACCACCAAGCAGGAACTGAACTGGACCAGCTGCATAAATACTATGTCTACAAGGAGAGGTCAGTAGCTAGTACTGCAGCCAATAACTCACCCCAACCAGCCCAATACAAGGCACAGGTCAGGAATGCGATGAAATACCTGCTTGCATGAGTGCTGCTCCAACAACACTCGAGACACATGTCACAATCCAGAACAAAGCAGCTGCCAGATCACCAAAACCACTTTCAGTATTCACTCCTTCCAACACCATTTGGGAGCAGCAGTGTATACTGTCTACAAGATACGCTGCACAACTCACCCAGACTCCTTCAACAGCACGTTCCAAACTCACCCAAATACAGTACTGAAGGAATGCTGGTCTGTCAGATACACCATTTTTAGATGAGAAATTAAACAAGGTGTTCCCTCTCAAGAGGAGGCAAAATAATCCGATCACACTATTCTGTAGAGGAGCAGGGGTGTTTGCCCTAATCTCCTGGCTGTTATCCATTCCTCCATCAGCATCACTAAAAGCAGATGATCTGGTCATTATCTCATTGGACTGTTTGTCAGACCTATATTACAACAGCAATCACAATTTAGAAGTATTTATTGGGTGAGAAGTGTTTTGGGGACACTGTAGGATTCTGAAAGAATTATCTAAGTCTCTCTTTC